CTAGGTACTTACATACATGATCTTTTCATGAGACCAATTTTGGCTTTTTAATTAACGACAATCGTTGTAATCTTCTTTATCGACATGTCTAACGAATTCTGTCGTTAAGTGTGTTTTTGAGAATAGCCTATTCGCTACTGCAAGCTAAAACGCCGTTCATTATCAATAACGAATATCGGTCGTTAAGAAAAATGGGCATCGCACTACAGAACGCATTTAACAGAGGAAAAACCGCAGGGATTGCAGTAGTTCTTACAATCACCGTTGATGATACTGTGCTTGTAAATATGTAATAGTCTGAAAAGACAGAAAATTGCATTAATCAAATGTTAAACCCATCAAATAAATAAATTTCAATAATTTGTTTACCATTTCACAAACCGAATTACCAAGAAATAGAAACTCACCGCGATGTGATACAGATATAAAAACCGACAGGGCTGCATTTTCTTGGTAAACGACACAAGCGCTCAGAGCATTCTGATCCGCAATATTATTTTCTGAAAAATAAGAGTTGATAAGAGTTTTTAAGCATGATTATCACATTATCTAATTAGAGGACACTATCGTGTTTATTTTTAGTAGAATATACTTGTATTATCTCAGACTTTTTTTCACTGTTTTCTAATATTCGTTCTTTTGGACTGCAAAAGCAACCATGCGCTCAATTTCTTGTGGAGAAATTTGGCCCCCATAAAGGACTTTCACCACGAAACAGCTCCAAAAACAAAAACCTTTTCTACTTGTATAATGTGGTCTGACGCTAGGGGATAAATCGATACCATCAAGGTATTACTCAAATCAGTACTTGTACTTGTATCAAACAAGGTATCGATACCTACTCAGTATCGGAAAGGTATCGAGTACGTGTATATAGATTTTGCAGATTTTTCAAAGTTATTGAATTTTTTTTCACAAAACGCATGAATTTTTACAGGATTATTTATCTTCTAATATTTTTTCATACAAAAACAATAGAATACATTTTTACAAGATTAATAGATAAAGTTTTTTAATATAAAATAAGTTTAAGAAAATAACTCCTTGTTTGTTTAGACCACTAGACTAAACCAAACTTTGAAAAGGGTGAACCACCCTAATGTT